TAGGTTAAAATTGAAAAAATATACATGTAATTATTATAAATAATAATAAAGAGAGAGCGAGATGGAGACAGACAGGGACAGAGGTAGAAACAGAGAGAGAGAAGAAGATGAATCATCACGTGAAAGTCGTTCTGAAAGCACATCCTGACTGTGGGGAGATGCTGGGGTAAGACAGACTTTGGCAGAGAGCCTGAAATAGGCCGTACGTTTCACATAATATGGGAAGGAGATGAGAGCCCCAAGTAGGCTTAGAAATATGAACTTTGAGGAGTGGCTTAGTCCTGGCATGTAGAGATGAAAGGTCTTAGAGTGGGGAAATAATTATGGAAAATAATTAGTAGTGATAGGTTGAGCAGCTGAAAAATTACTTGAACATCCCTGTAGGGATGCTGTGTAGAAATGAATGCCCAAAACAAAACAAAACCGTGTTATGGTAACTGAATTTTATTAATGATTTTACTGAATGTGTACCTAGGTGTTGATTTATTTTGAATATTGATATTTTAATGCCATGTTACTTTAAGTAGAACTGGGAAATTAGAGATATGCTGTTAATATTATTGTCCCATATTTTGGGACAATGGAACTTCATAAATAACTTTGTGGCTACTTCTCGGCTTTCCAGATTTGAAGAATGCAAGCTTACATGTCTATAAAGAGTCAGTATTACTCACTTAGTAGGAATTATCCTATGAAACTTTGCCCAGGTCTACAAGTTTGTTTTACAACCCCAACAGTTTTCCCCAAATATCCCTTTCTCCTTTGTTTGCTCTGTCTCAGAGTGGCAGGGGTATATTTCTAAGTCATGTATCCTTTTATGTCATTTAAATTCACAGAGACTCAGATTTCTCATTTATGAAATGAATCAAAAAATACACTCAAAGGGTTTTCTGAAACTAAGAGGAATAATCCATGTGTAACCCTGATAAACCTGAAGCTGATACTCATCCAGGTACAGAGCAGTCTACACAGTCAAAGTACAATTCAAGGGGGAAAAACAAGGGAAAGAAATACAATTAAGTGAGAAAATCCCTCAAATAATTTAATATCTTAAAAATTATGGAGGGCATTCAAATATATAGCACCATTTATTTGAGTTCCCCTTTACTGTATATTGCTTCTATGTCTTGCTTCCCCAGAGTGTCTCAAACAACTGAAAAATTTCCCACACCCAGCCTACAGCTGCTGTTCCTTTCCCCCAGTCTCAATGCTTTCTCTGACTTTAATATGTAGGTGAACTCTACCTCTCCTCCAGAAAGTGCCCTTCTTCAGGAATGTGGGCCATGTCTATTTGGAGTAGGCATCAGACTGCTAAGAAGCACAGGGGGTCCTCTTTAGTGGACTAGAGAAGAAATGCTGTGAAGATTTTCATGTTACTTCCTCCTCTGAAATACAAAAACTCTCCCTGTGTCATATGTGCTTCTTCACAGGGGAGCCAAGCCTTTGTTACAGGTATCAGGGAGATGGGATTTGTGAACCTTTCGAGAAGGAAACTAGCATCCTAGACTGTGGTCTCCATACCCCTAAAGGATACTTGGATCAGTGGGCTAGCCAGGCTTACTCCTCTCGTGAAGACAAGAAGTGTCCTGTTTCTCTGGTAACTGGAGAGCCTCATTCCATGGTAAGTTAAGCCAGATGCCTCGATTCAAGGCTGAGCCAAAGTGTGAAGGGACACTCATAGATGTGTAATGGGAGCTTGCAGTGTGCTCCAGATTTTGACATGAAATCTTGTCCTTACTGACCTCAGAAAGAGACAATATTAAGGGAAAGGCTTCCAGATTAGCAGTGAAATCTTACCCTTCATGCTCACTCCATTTAGCCTCATAAGTTTGCATCTAGGCACTTCTGATTTTGCAGTGATTGACTCCAAGGTATACACAAGCATCTCAAAATTTAATTTATAAGTACGTATATCAGAAATTTCATTTAGGCTCTGTGTCTGGGAGAGTTTGTTTTAAAACAAGAAAAAGAAGTAGTAAGAAATCAGAAGGACCGGGTTACACTGTTGGATCCCACTGGTATTAGTATCATTAGATGATTTTAAACAAGTTAGATAATCTTTCTGGGTCCCATACTCATATATAAGTGAGTATGTTAATATCCTTTGGAATTATCTGAATTGTTTATTATAAGGATCAAATGAAATTTAAAATATATATTAAAGTCAAAGTATCATTTGCCTTAAAGAATTATTATTATTGAAAAAATCCTGGAATTAGTACTAAATGCCAATCCCCAATGGTACAATTTTCCCTGAGTATCCACTTAAATGGATAAGAGATCCTCTGAGGACTCTGAAATGCTATGCTATTGACATTTATGGATTATAGTTTGATACTGAGAAGGCTATGGGCCCTTGGCTCTTGTGAATCATTCCAGATACTTTCTTTGTTAAATAGACTCTCATTCGTTGTACCAACACCCAGTGCAATCTTTTCACCAATGTGAAGGTTAGCTCTCCAGGTCTTTCAGGCTAGGATGAAATAATTGGATTTCAGCCTTGGGCGTCCATCTCTGAAGGTATTGAGCCACTTCCCAAGACTGATGCTACAGTTAAAGATCTCATCAAGGACCCTGGCATCTTCTAGATTGTAGATCTTCCATTGCTGTCTGCAGTTTTCTTCTTCTTGCCCCTAACATCAGTGCTGCTGGCCTTGGCATTTCAAGTAAGATGAAAGGAGTGTATCAGAGTGAAGTTGGTGTATGTCCGCTGAGTCTTTCCCTTTGTACTGGGAAAATAGCACCTTTCTGGAAGTTCAACACCGTAGACGTCCAGCCATATCTTATTGGACAGATCCAGGGCACTTTGTCAGACTCAGTTGTAGGAAGGAACCCTGAGGAGATGAGCATTTATGGAACTGGATAACCTTGAATAAAGTTGGAATTTGTTAAAAGAAAGGAAAGAGAAATGGATATTATTAGGCAACTAGCCCTTCCCATGAAGCTCCATCAGCCCAGTTCTGGCATCTTTCTCTGTAGAGTTCTGGTGCCCGTTGGCAGAAAGTCAGTAAAGTCGGGAGATTCTGAGTTTGTGACATCTCTCTGAAGTGGCTTTTAGTCTGTTCTGTCTGTCTTCCCTAATTCCAGTGGAAGAGTTTCCTGGAGTGTTGCTTCCCTAGCTCCTTTATTCAGTAGCCCAAGGCTCAATGGCTCCCTGACTCAGTAGGCTCCCTTTTGGGGTCAATTAATGTTACATGGCAAGGACCTATAACCATTATCCAAGAAAGATTTCCTCTGTTGATCCATGGACAAGTTGTCTGAAATGTGCCAGAATTCTTTTGGCAAGATCCCTGGGCCAATTGATGGTGGACTGAGTTCCTCTGTGTGATTTTCTACACTGGCATGATACTGCATATGATAGTACAAACCTGTAATTCCAGCACTTTGAGAGACAGAGGCAGGAGGATTTCGATTCAAACCCAGTCTGGGCAATTTAGCAGCTTAGCAAGATTATATTTCAAAATAGAAACAAACAGGGACAGGGAGGTAGCTCAGTCCAAAGGCTCTGTATTCAATCCCCAGTACTGCAAAAAAAAAAAAATAGTAATAATAATAATAACTACAATAACAAAACCCTCCAAAACAAAAGACAAAAAAAACCCCAAACAACAACAAAAACAAAAACACTGGCATGTTGAGGCTAACAGAACATTAAGAAATTCTTCTACATTGAGAAAAAGTTTTACTCCAAGTAATATAATCTTGAGACACTCAGAAAACCTTTGGTTTTGTACTGGAGAGGTTTGTGGTCTTTACTTATCGGTCATACTCTGCACTTAATTTTTTGTTGAAACTGCATTTCAGATTTGCACATCATACCATCCAGATCTACCCAAGTACCACCCCTTTACTGGCTGGTTTCCCTGCATCACCAGTGGAAAAAGGCCTCAGGATGAAGGGAGTGAGCAGTTTGAAGATAGCCTGGAAAAGGAGAATGAAGTTTGGCTCGAAGTAAGTGGCTTAAACAATTACTTGTGAAGGTTGTGGACAGGGGAGAGTGTGTGCATGTGTGTGAAATTGTGCATTTGAATGGCTGGCCAGGAAATTTCCTCTTGTTATCTCAGAGTTTTTATATGTTGGATTTATCTTCACCTCTTTTTGAATTTTGGCCTTCTATATGAAAAATCACTTTATCAAAGTAACATACACACAGAAAAATGTAGAAATCAAAAATGCAAAGCTCAATGAAATTTGCAAAGTCAGTGTCCTTTCTAACAATCGTACAGATTAAGAAATAGGGCATTAGAGCCACTCTCACAAAGCTCTCTTCTGTCCCTTTTCTGTGAATGTACTACGGAGGTGTACAGATTAGTTTTGTCTATTTTTAAACTTAAAAACTATTCTGTGTGTACTCCGTCTGATTCTATCACTTTAAACATTGTGTTTGTGAGATTCATTCCTCTTGCTTTCCTTGATTGTAGGGTTCATTTTCTTTGCAACACAGCATTCCAATGAATGAATATATACTCTATTTAAGTAGTCTAATATTGATTTTTGGTTATTTATATTGATATGTTGGATATTTATATTATTTCCAGATTTTTGCTATTACAAATTGTTCTACAATAAACATTTCTGTATTTTTTTAATGAATGTGTATGAACCGTTGAGTATATTTGGCACTGATGGATCATTGGTAGGCCTGCTTTGGTAGATATTCTCAAATAATTTTCCCCAGCTGTTGTACTACTTTATACTCCCACTCAAGGCTTAGGAGTGTTTCAGTTGCTTCACATTTTCACCAACACTTGTAATTTTAAATTTCAATTTTTAGTCTTCTGTAATGTAAAGGTATTGCTCATGTTTTCAAGTTGCATTGTATGATTAATGAGATTGGAAACCTTATAAATGTATATTGGTCATATGTGTATCTTTTTTGTTTGTTTTGTTTTGTTCCTTTTTGAAAGGCATGGTCAAGGTTTTTGCTCAGTTTTCCATTGGATTGTCCTTTTCTTAATTTACATGATGTATTTATAATTTACAATGATTACGAATTCTTTTTCAGTCATATGTACTTTAATGTCTTCTTGTTCTCTAATACAACTCCTAAATATTGGTTCATTTTCTTTCAGAGTATATAGCTATTCTTGCTCATTTGAATTTTATATAAATTTTGAGATCAGTTTATCAATTTCCCCATGTAAAGAAAAAACTAATGGAATTTTGATTGGGATTTCATTAATACTGCAAGTCCTTTGGGAAGAGTTTTCCTTTTTTTTTTCTGGTACTGGGAATCTAACTCAGGGCCTTGTGCTTGCCAGCAGGCACAGCACTACTGAACTACATCCCCATCCGGGGAAGAGTTTTCTTTTTAAAGCAGAGCCATCTAATATTTTTTTTCAGTCATTTAAGTCTTCAACTTCTCTTATTAACATTTAATAATTTTCTGAGGAGAAGATTAATTTATCAAATACCTTTCCACATCTATTGAGATAATCACATTTTCCTCTTCTTTCTTTTAATATCTTGGCTTTGTTGATAGATTTTTAAATGTTAAACAAAACTTAGATTCCTGGAAACAAAGAACAACTTGGAAGTGGTGTAGTGTCCTTTTAAAATACTTCTAGATTTTGTTTAAAATATATGTTAACTGTTCCTTCATCTACATTCCTTAGAGCTTGGCTCCTAATTTTCTTTATTCTATCGTGTCAGGCTTTATAATCAAGGCTATCAAAAATAAGTTTCTTTTTTCCCCAGTTCTTTAGAATATTTTGTGTAAAGTTGTTAATTTTTAAAGTAATCACCAGTGAAGATATCTGACTCTGGAAGTTCCATTGAGGAAAAAATTTAAATTATGAGTTAAAATTTTAAAACAAATATAGAAAAGTTGAGGTTCTCTATTTCTTATTTGATCAATTTTGGTGCGTCAAGTTTTTCAAATAATTTGTCCCTATTTCTAAAATAATAAACTTAATAAGTTTTTAATAATATTTTATTATTTTCTTTGTAATGTTTCTAAAATCTCCAGGAGGATTTTTCCCTAGTGCTATTATTAATTTTTAGTTTATTTATTATTCATATTTGCTAAGGATTTACCAGTTTTATGAACTTTTCATTAATCTCTTTATGTAACCAAAGATACAAATGGTCTTATTTTCATTATTTTCTTTTTTTTCCCCCAGTGCCTTATACATGCTAAGCAAATTGCTCTCTACCAATGAGTTTTACCTACATCCCTGTTTCCTTTATTTTATGCTTGTTTTTAACTTTTCTTTTTTGAGTAACTTGATGTGATGTAGATAATTGATTTTAGCCCATCCATACTTATTACCTCCATTTATCTATCTGCATGTATTTCTCTATCTATGCATTGAGGTTTAAAGCTGCCTCTTAATGCGTGATTTTAGCTACATATCATGAGTTTTTACATAGCATATTTCTGTTATTCAGTTCAAATATATTTTAAAACTTGTGATTTCTTTTTTGATCTTTGAGTTATTTATTAATGTAGTGTTTAAGGTGAAAACATTTTTGGATTTGGAATATAGCTAGATTCTTCTGTGATCAAAAGTATATTCTGCATTTTAATTCTTGAAATTTGTTGAACCTTGAATCACAATCCATAGATCAGCATATGGTCAGTATTGTTAAACATCACATGTACTTGTGAAATGGGTGTGTAATATGCAATCATTAAATATTAAAGCATTCTATACATCTCATAATGCATGTTTATCCACCATGTTCTTGAAATTTCCTTATATTTTCTGTATTGTGTGTGTATTTGTGGTGTGTGTGTGTGTGTGTGTGTGTGTACTGTGTCCTTCAGGGCTTGAATAGTACAGTATATGTTAAAATCTCATGTAGAACTTTTGTTATAAAGCAAGCAGTTTTTGTATGCCTTGGTAAATTATTATATTCCTTGACAGGTGTAGATGAAATTCTAACATTTTATCTTTCATACTTCCAGCATCATGTTCCTCTAACACGCACTTTTTTTTTTTTACATCACTTCCTCTGGAACATTTTTATCCTTTTGGTCAAAACTTCTTTTCTCATTTATGTTGACAACTTCACCTCTGTTGAATTTCTCTGGCTGCCTGTCTAGAGTTTCTTGAATGGCAGAAGCATTTCTTCTACAGCTCCATTTACCATTGATCAAATTTTACTTCCAGGATCACAATTTTTCTTTTCTTTGCTGCACTTTCATCCTTCTTGGTCAGTGTTGCTTTTGAGTATCCATTTTTGCAAAATTTCATGTGGGTTTGTCACTAAAGAACAAAGAGACAGCACAACTATGCATTTTTATGTTGAGATCCAAATAAGAGGTACTCAGTGACCAGTCAATGACAGACTCTGAGAGAACTAATGTGATTGGTCACTGATGATTCATATCTGTTATTTACATAGTTATTTTGTATTTAAAGGCTAGCAGTGAATTTTAAACTTTATGTAGTTTCAGTTAATACATTGGGCAAACTGCAATTTCAATCATATTGTTGAGAGACTGATTACTGTTAATTGTGGATATGGGAGCTTTGTAAATTAAAGAAATGCAAGTATACAGTTTTAGAATTTCCGTATCTTTCTGGTGAATTATCTCTTTTTACTAAGAAATATCTCCTTTTATCACTATGAAAACCTATTTAATTTTTCCTATATATTCTTATTTTCTTTGAAATTCTCTATTTTAAAAACATATCAATCAATCATTTTAATGTCTATACCTGGAGCTCTGTTTAAGCTGACTACATTTTCTCTGAATTTTCGCTCATTCAAGTCTATCTGCTATCATGCAGAATAATGTTTTAACTGAATATCAGACACTGAATATATTCTAGAGACTCTGGTTAATAATATCCTCCTTTCAAGATCACATTTTTTACATATATCAAGATTTGGGAAAGATTACGTTAATCCAATGAGTAATGAAGAAGACTAGATCTTGTGCCTTTGTATTTGTAACCCTGGATACATTTTCCTGTTATTTCTTTATTCTAGACTTCAGAGGTCTCTGCTAAAAGCTTGAATTGGGCACTCCACTTTGATAATCTCTGAAGTGCAGTTTCTATTTTCTCAGCAGTATGTGTATCAAATACTCATAGTATCAAATACTCTCTCTAGGCAATTTTTCCCTGGCCTCTTATCCTCTGATTCTGCACAGCTTGAGATGTGAGAAAAATCTCAGAGACTAAAATGGCATGGATGTTAGGCTCCCTACAATGTAGCTTTCTTCTTCTTGATATATTGGGCTCTTAGGCCCTGACTACTTTGGTTGCTCTCCAATACTTTCCAACTTATTTTTTTACTTAATTTATACTTTATAATTATTCTTGCCAGCAATATTTGATCTACTATAAGCTACTCCCTCATAGCTGGAAGCAGAAATCTCCAGCTAGAATTCTATTAATACATGTCATTGAGGTACTTCCTGTGTTTTAGCATTGTACCACATTCTTACAGGTGATCCAGGAGAATGGTGCTTCTACTGTAAATAGCCACTAGTATCATTGAAAGTTATGTTGATATATGAAACCTACTGAGAGAATTTAGATTTCACAAATCCACATGATATCAAAAATTAAGAACTGATTTAAAAAATAAGCTAGTTAGGTGTTTTTTAAAAAAATGTTCTTAGAACTGCAGAATTTCTGACCACTTATTCTTCCTTTTAGTATAATTTAATCTTGATTCGATACACAAATATGTCTTGGATGTAATGGATTAGAGACAAGTTTATTGCACAAGTGAGAAACAATGGTACTGGAAAACATTAGTCTTAAAAATATCTTTCCAAAATCTTTCATTTATTAAAATGATACTTACCCAATAAAATTTTTGTCATTTTACTCCACATTTACTGAGTTTTAGTACACATTTTCTTAATTTTTCTTATTTTCTTCTAATCCTCAGCCAATAGATCAAGAATATAAAGAAATTTGTTAATACAGATAACATAAAGTATAGACTTAAAAATTATTTACAATAATAAGCACATTTTAAAGTCCACC